GATTGTCAAAAACATATAAATGATTTGGAAAAAGAAGAAAAAGAATATTTAGCTAACCTTCAAGAGGCCATCAATACCAAGATGCCTGGCATCAAAGAATTGCAAGAAAAACCCAGAAAAGAAAAAGAAATTCAAGACATACTTACTAAAGAAATTAAGGAATGGTGAGAAAGGCAAGAGAATTATTCGAACCCTAAGCTTTTGCCTTTCTTGCCCAAAAACCAAACCTGAGTCAAATCATTAACTAACAAAATCAAAACTCAGTTCCAGCAAGCAATAAAGTTTCCAAAATTTAAAGAAAAACCAACTAATAATTCTTTTTCCATTTACAAAACTTTACTTGTAACCCGTTTGTTTTTTTAAAAAGCCAATCATTTGTTTTAAAAATTTAAACTGGCTTTGGATAAGTAATGTCTTTAAACTCGTCTCTGACAAATGCACGAATGTTTTGGTAAAGATACTCATGCCTTTTGTAATTCAAAGGAGGAGAGGTTAGTACTAGGATGGAAAAAGATTTAATTTCTTTGATAATTTCAGAAACACTTGTTTTTCTAGTTTTTAACAAATAAAAGCACCATTAGCACTCATTTACATTTTGACAATTCCAGGATTAGTTGCTTCAGAAACAAAATGCTGATATTTTGTAAACCACTCAATTTCTTAAAAAAAAATTCTTAACACAGAATTGAGATCTAAATATTGAAAGGCCTTCCCGGTGTCATAACGCTGAGCCTTGTTTAATCGATTTTTTCACAATTTTAACAATATTGTTCACACAATTTACCGTTGTTTTGCGATATTGTTTCTTATGTCCTGGTACCATAAAATTTAATTCGATACTTTCATAATAACCGCAAATAACTAAATACAGATAAAATCAAATAGTGGCATTATTTTTATTTTGACCACCCCCATTGTCACAAGTAATTTTTAGATATTTTTCGCCTTTATTCAATCGCTTAATTCCATCGAATACCATGCTTAACGTGCCATTAGGGCCTTTACCGATAATTTCGCCTTTATCGAGAACATAATTAATTTTTCGCGTACTGCTTCATCTTGGATACCAAATAAATGCACTTTACGCGGACTGAGATAATAAATCTTACTTACTTGATCGGAATGGGGTACTAGTACGTGAACGTTTTGCGCTCAATCGTAACTGTAATGCGCAGTCGCGTCCATGCTGCAGTAATCAACTTTATCTCTTGTTCTAAAATGCTCATCTACCAATTTTCTCTGTTGTTCTGCCAACTTCGTATTTTTGTTGTAATAATTTCTCTCCAATTTAGCTTTAACTAATGCAATTTCTGTTACATTGGGAAAAGGTCTAGAAAGTTCTCAATAATATGTCATTTACCACGTGTCCAATTCATACAAATTTTCCTGTGCGCAAGAAAATTCTGATAATGGCTTCTGCGAACGAGAAATCACCCCAGACAAAAAAGGAGTTCCTGCGCTGGTTGACTAAGACCAAAAAGTGGCCCGATGTGGCAGACAAGGTCGATGAGTTCGAGTGGGAGGACTTGCTTTCCTTTGACGAGAGGACATGGGAAAAGGAATTTGGGGCAATGAGAGCTCAACTTATTGTCAAAACACTCTTTGGAGAAGGTAACGACTTTGTGACCCGGACGTTGGGAACATAGAGTAGTGTGTACAGTACATAGGGTAGACATAGTATTGTGGATATCTATATTATGGATTTTGTATCTCTCCCGTTTATTACAACCCTTTCCATTGCTATAATCATAATTGCTGCGATGTATTTGGATTGTTCCACCTTTGTCCGCGCGTTCGTCTTTCACTGGAAGAACGGTCCCACCTAGGTACGCTGTTGTCCGAAGCATGTCTGTTCATTGATCATTCGCTTTATTGATATCATTTTCCGACAATTCTTGCTGTTCTTCGTTGTGTTTATCGGCTTCCGTCATCCAGCTGACACTGGTTGAGTGATATTTTTATTTACGATGCCGTGCTCCGTTGTGTCGACTCGTTCATTCGCCTTCGGTGCTCATTCTGATACCATCTCGTCTATTATTCATGTTTTCTTTGTCAAAATTGCTATTTCTCATTTCTGTAGCTGGAACTTTAAAACGGACACAGGAGGACGATCTGTCTGGATATTCCAAGAAGTTTCGAGCTTATAGTCTACCCGGTATTTCCTCTCTTGCGATTAATGGATCAAAAAAACAAACTCGACTAATATCCGTGTTGTTAGCTCCTTGGCTTGCCGGGCCACCTATAAACGACTCGTTCAGAGATTGTCTTACAAAAGAATTCCGACTCTTGAATAAGGTCGCCTTCGATCAAGCTTGCAAAACGCTACGGTGCCCGCGGACGGAATTTGACCTATTACAGCAACATCCGGCGTTTATATGCATCCTAGATGGGCCCGGTAGGAGGAGGATGCTGAATTTTTTATTTCATTAACTTTTGTTCCTTATCAATACAATTTTATCGAGATAGGTGTAGGCAAATCAAGGTTCATCTATGAAGCTGCGAAAGAGGCAAAGGCCTTTATTCTCCGGACTTCCTTTGAGTATGGTATCCTGAAGTCTGTGATCGATGAAGCGGACAACCACAAATACCATTATGCTCTAGCAGAGACAGTTGTCCTGCACTTATGCCACGCATTTCGAACAGCCTTTGTGACAATTTTTGATCGAGCATCAGAGGCGATTTTATCATTTAAGAAATCTGGTGATCCACCTTTGGAAATCACGTTGACAAAAAATTTTCTCCCAAACTACGAGGACGAAGATATCAAAGAACTTATGGGAAAAGCATTGGATGAGCTAAAAGTTTTGTTGGATGGCACAGCCATGGTCATTATTATGGATGAAGCTCAGTGCATGGGACCACCACCTGGAAAATTGCGAAATTATGGTAGTGTTCAGGAACTGATTTCCAACAACACAAGAACATATCCGGTTAGTGCTTTTCCTGATATCAAACAGAAAATTTTTCTCTTTTGTCAACCATTGATCTTATTGTGTTTCAGAAAATGGACTATATTGATGATGAGGTGATGCCCACGCCAAAGCACTTTGTCTCAATTGCGCTTCACTTAGTGCTTCAAGAAGTGGTCCCCATGGGACTTTCCCGAAACATTGCTATTGCGGTCTTAGGCTTGGACCCAACCTTAAACATTCATAAAGCATTGGCACGGTCTGGGTTGACAACATTCTCTTTCTGCCAAGATATTGCAAAAACACTGCCCTATTTTACCTATAAGGATGTGATGGTATAAATCTGAATATGTTAATTCTTGATACAAATCTTTTGTGCAAAATTGACAACTTGGCTTTTTATCTTAGGAGGTTGTTGGGCAATACATTGATCTCAACTTCTATCCACCAATGGAAATAGCACCTGTTATAGCACAACTAACAGGGCCACCCAGAATTACAGAAATTTTTCTTGAAACATGTTGGCAAAAACGAAGATTTCGCTTTCCAGAATTGATGAATGACACGTTTTTTTCCTTCTGTTCGCGGTACACATGTGATACATAGAAGTGGCGTTTTTTTTTGTGTAAAATTTTATATAGAAGTTCAATTGCTCTTTTAGCTTTTTGTAAAAAATTGTTATTTGTTATCTCTGCTTCGAATGTTCGATATTCGTTCCGAAAGGTTGACTGATTACAGCAAATTTTGTTTTAGTGCACTAACAATTTTCTCCATATTAATATTAGATACAACTTGAGTAATGTGAAGGGAGGAGAAAATATGCTTCGGCTGTTTTTCAAATTGACATATTTTCCAACACAATTTGGTGGCTCGATAATTTATGAGGATATGAATACTGTGGTAGAGTACCATGATAAGAGTGAGGGATATCATATTATTGCTAAATATCACAGGCAGATGAGTGTAATCGGTAATTAGAAAGTGGTGTAATGTATTTCCTGATAATTCTGAAAGCCTTTCTAACTTGGTATTGGATGTTCAGGAATTGTGCGTGTCCAACTTTTTGAACGTGTTGCTAGCAAGGTCTTTCAGATTAGTGAACCATATCCTTTTGCATACCGGGCATTGCGAGAAGTAGCTGGCTACAAGAACCTTAAGGTATTAGTATGAATTAGAATTCTTGACTGTATTAAAATCATAGAACAAGAAACTTATTCCTCATTTCTTTCAGGAACCCATTGTAGGAAGCCTAATGAACATGAAGGAGATGGGTGGTGAACTTTTTGAATATGCTGTTGGCAAGGAATTGTCATTTAGATTTTCACCCATTTATGGACGAATATTGCGAATGACTGGTATTGCATTATTTTAGTAGCTGCATGTATTAGTATTTATTGATCTGAGTATGTGGAAATTCAAGTATTTCACTTGGCAGGATATGATGTGCTTCCCAATTTGGAACAAATGGTGTTTGAACCTTTCAATACAATTGAGACACGAAATGATTCTAGCATCCTAGATGAGAATCACCAAACTGTCCGATGGATTCATGATAAGAACTCTAGAGACACCATGAAGGTAAGTGACCTTTCTGGTTAAATAAAGTCACTACTCACTGCTCACAATTGCTTATTATATATTATGCTGCTTGGATAATACAGGTAGATGTGTGGACTTTCGGATATAATGATAAACCAGCACAAGATTTACCACCAGTGATTGATATATTTGTGCAGGTTACAAAGCAAAAAGATGGAGTAGATCAAAAATTAGATGAAACGCTCCGTCATTGGCTTTGTGCTGTACCCATTCTACATGAGGCACCTGCCATCCTTGTATTCATTAGTTGGCACCCTGTTACAATCCCAGGATGTGTCAAATTGGAAGACAATGGGAGAGTGACATATATAGGGGTACAAACACGTAACCAACAGGATCAGATGAAGGAAAAGGGACCACAACATTGGTTGTTAGTCTTCTCTGGGGCTGAGTTAAATAACACTGTAGTTCCACTTCTTGCACTTGTGGACAATCCCCCAGCTGATATCAAGGAAAAGTATAACTTTGAATAAGGAAGGATTACTTGATAGTAGATTGCTCTAATTGTTGCATGTAAATATCATGCAGTATATCACACCATATACACATATCCAAGTTAGTGATTGCGAATAAAAAAATGTATAGAAATGCAGTAAATGTTACGGTCGGCGTATTCAATTAGGGAGATTTGTGGGAGAGCGAACTGTAGGCGGTTCGGCCGACAGGGGGATCTGACTCAATTAGCTCAGCTATCGCTGCCCTTACTTCAGCGACAGTATCAACTAAGACTGAATGCTAAGCTATAGTGACGTTCCTTATTAATTAATTAT